AAATTCATTCAAAACATTAAAATACGAAAAATAAAAAAGTAAATTTTCTTAAAACTGTTTTCTGAAAACTGGAAACGAACAAACTGAATATTATTTGTAACTAGTGTATCATGGACAATACAAAAAAAATATAGATATAAGTCTTAAAATAAATTATATAATGATAAATTATTTTTTAATACAAAATTTGATTAAAAATTCAATATAATGATAATATCACGTCATCATTGGTATGTGATATCACCCACTAATGATAAATAAACGCATAAAGAGTAAACCTCACATGTCGAATGTAACTAACAATCTAATAAATTTCATATCTTTATAGTGAGATTACTTATACTTGCATATCACTAATAATGACATTGTCATTATATTTAAAAAATTTCATAGCTAATATGGTTTATTTATAATAGTCTCTTTATTTTCAATCAAAACAACCGTTATTATTTTTATAATTTTTAAAATGTCATTGACATTTCACTTTAATAATATTTTTATAATTTTTATTTAAAATATTTTTTTTATGTTTACAAAAAAAAAAAAAAAGTTTCGGAGATCGAGTCATCTTCCAATACAGGATCCACAACTTCCAAGGCCCTCCCATCCCTCCACAGCTTCCATACCTAAAACCAATTTCAAGTTTCATAAAGAAAATAAAATAAGATTAATTATAATTATTATTATTATTGTTTTTTTTTTTTTTTTAGGTGTAAACATACATGTCCCAAAAGGTTCAAATCATGGTCAGGGTGTAAAAATCCCCAATTCCTCATGCCACTTATTGTCTCCAATATCAAAATGCCAAAGCTAAATACATCTAATTTTGTTGAAATTTGGCCATGCAAGACATACTCTGGAGACATGTAACCACTGTATTGTCAATACGAGAATATTGAAATTTGTAATCAAGAAATATTTGTTTCAATACATGACATGAGTACTTACTGTGTTCCATTAACCCTCACGGATGGTTCCTCTTGTACGTTTTCTGAGTCAAACTGTATATCTCATTAAATTGAACAAAGAATACATCACTCACTTGTATAGAATGCTAAATCCTAATCCTAAACAAAATACATCATTGACAGAGAATGCTATTACATATAGAACACTAACACTAATTCCTAATCCTAAAAAGAAAAGGAAAACGGAGAACACTATTCTCACGCACTCCCTCAAACTTAAGGTGTTTTAGCAGAAAACACTGAGAGTTTGTCAAGAAAAAATCGAAACCGAGCAGTGGTGTGAGTCTTGGTGAAGAAATTAGCAAGTTGCAGAGTTGAAGAAACAAAAGGAAGCGAGATAATGCCAGACTGCAGATGCTGACGGATGAAGTGACAATCAATCTCAATATGCTTTGTCCATTCATGAAAGATAGTGTTATGAGCAATTTGAATAGCACTTCAGTTGTCACAATAGAGAGAGGTCGGGGAAGACTGAGGGACACCCAAATCAAATAAGAGACCACGAAGCTAGACAATTTCAGCAGTAGCATGAGCCATAGCACGATACTCAGCTTCAGCATTAGAACGGGCAATAACAGTTTGTTTCTTGCTTTTCCAAGAAATCAGGAAATCGCCAAGAAACATACAGAAACCAGAAGTAGATTTATGATCATTAACATCACCAGCCCAATCAACATCAGCATAGGCCACCAAATCTAACGAAGAAGTAGAAGAGAATAGCAAGCCCTGTAAAATAGTACTGCGAAGATAGCGAAGAATTCGAAGCAAAGCAACCCAATGTGTAGAGCGAGGAGCAAAAACAAACTGACTAACCATATGGACAGCATAGGCAAGATCAGGGCGAGTAACTGTCAGATAGACTAAACAAACCACAAGTTCGTGATATAACGTAGGATTGTCCAGAGAAACACCATCAGTAGTGTTAAGCTTCACATTAAGCTCAATGGGGGTATCAGAAAGCTTAGTGTCAGTAAGCCTGGCATGATGGACAACCTCGTTGGCATACTTAGCTTGGGATAGAAAGTAACCCTTGGGAGAAGAGGTCACCTCAATACCGAGAAAATACCGCAATGGTCCCAGATCCTTCATTTCAAAGGTACGGAAGAGATGCTGCTTGACTTCAGAGATAGCAGCAGAGCCAGAGCCAATGATGATCATATCATTTACATATAGTACGAGAGCAACAAAACCAGTCAAGGTATGTCTCAGAAATAAAGCAGAGTCGGAAGTAGAAGGATGAAATCCAAGCTTGGTAATCGCAGTCTGAAAGCGATCATACCAAGCACAGGAGACTGCTTCAGACCATACAAGCACGCCGAAGACGACAAACTTAGCCAAAGAAATGGTGAAAACCAGGGGGAGGACACATGTAAACCTCCTCAGTGAGATGGCCATTAAGAAAAGTATTCTTAACATCCATCTGATAAATAGGCCAATAACGAATAGCAACGACAGAGATTAAAGTACGAACAGTAGTCATCTTGGCAACAGGAGCAAATGTCTCCTCATAATCAATACCATATTCCTGGGAGAAACTTTTGGCAACCAGACGGGCTTTGTAGCGCTCAAGAGAACCATTAGAATGAGTCTTGACTTTGTAAACTCATTTGCAACCAACCAAATTCTTACCAACAGGCAAAGAAACCAACTCTCATGTATTAGTTTTCTGTAGAGCAAACAACTCACCCTCCATAGCTTGAACCCAATGAGGATCTTGACAGGCTTCCTTGTAAGACTGAGGTTCTACAAAAGAGTGAATAGCAAACAAAAAGGCACGATAGGAAGCAGAAAAACAAGTATTAGACTAACCCAACCTATTTGGAGGATGACACGCTCAATGAGGATATCGGTGTGCAATAGGATCAGAGTCGTCAGAAGCAAGAGGATCAGCAGTAGGGGCAGAGTCAACTGGTGGAGGAGGAGCCTTGCGATGAGAATAAACTAACAACGGAGAAGGAGAAGAGACCGAAGAAGGAGAAGCAGCGAGAGGTGAAGCAGGAGGAGAAGATGGAATAAGCTCAGGAGTAACTGTGGAGATGCACTCATTAGACGGAACCTCAGAAGAAAATGGATCAATATGAACCAAATCCTCTTTGGAAACAGGGGCGGTGAGAGGAGGAAGCAGAAAGTAAGATAGATGTTCAAGAAAGGCAATATGGCGAGAGACATAAGGCGACGGGAAACAGGATCATAACAGCGATAACCTTTCTGAGTGAGACTATAACCCAAAAAGACATATAGGACAGACCGGACACTAAGTTTGGTCCTATTTTTACGGGGTAAAATGACAAAACAAACAGACCCAAACACACGAAGGAGAGAGTAATTAGGAAGTTAAGAAAACAAAGCCTCATAAGGAGATCGATTAGAAAGAAGAGGGGTAGGCATACGGTTAAGAAGAAAAGTAGCAGTAAGAACTGCCTCACCCCAAAACGGAGGCGGAACGGAGACATAGAGAATGAGAGACCTAGCTGTCTCAAGGAGATGACGGTGTTTACGCTTAGCTCGACCATTTTGGGCAGGTGTATCAGTACAATAAGTTTGGTGAATAGTACCCAATTTGGCCAAGTATTCACAGAATTCAGTTTTAAAGCATTCTCTACCCAGGTCAGACCGCAACAATTTAATAGTAGAGCCAAACTATGTAGTGACCATAGACTGGAAGGTACGGTATATTTGGTAGAAGTCAGATTTATGAGTCATAAGATAAACCCAAGTGTAATGGGTGCAGTCATCAATAAAAGACACATAATATGTAGAGCCCCCTTTAGTAAGAACAGGAGAGGGTCCCTAGACATCAGTATGTACAAGAGAAAAAGGAGAGACAGAAATAGAGGTACTTTTATTAAATGGTAAGGCTGACATTATAGCAAGTTTACACCCCCAACATTCATCAATTTGACTAGGAGAAACTTTACCCAACAACCCTGACTGAGCTAAAGACCGTAAGCAGTCAACAGACAAATGACCGAGGTGAGAATGCCATAAGTAAAACTGACTTGACTGAGAATCTAACTGAAATGAGGAAAGTGTAGCTGGAGAAGTGGATAAAGGGAGATGCAAGCTTTCGACTACATAGAGGTCTTCAATTCTACGGTCGGTCCCAATCTGCTTCTTGGACACTCGATCCTGCACACAACGGACAAAAGAGGAAAAGATAACATCAAAACCAGACGTATCAAGTTCACTAATAGATAATAAACTGACAGATAACTGAGGAACATAAAGAACAGAAGGAATAGTAACAGCAGACATGGCAGAGGGGAAAACAGACCCAACAAACAAAACAGACATACCAGATCCATTAGCAGTATTAATAGTAATAGGAACGGGTGGGGGAATACAATTTTGAAGTAAGGAAATGTGAGGAGTCATATGATGAGAGGCACCAAAATAAAAAAGCCAGACAAAAGAAGGGATACCTGAAGAGGATCCACGCAAACCTGAATGAAGAGAAGCAAGAGCGGAGGCAGATGTGGATGACTGAGAGGTGGACAGGATATGCTGAAGTTGTGCAACCTGAGCACTCAAGGAAGCCAAGTCAGGATCGAGAGCCGAAGTGGATGCAGTGTAAGCAGCAGAAGGTCGAAAAGTACTCGAAGTAGGACCGCGAAATTGTGTCTGAGAAGATGGAGCAAGCTGACGTCCCTTTTTGGGACAATTGTTCTTCTAATGACCCCTTTGATGGCAGAAAGCACACTCATCTGGCCCTAATGGTCCTTTCTTGGGTTTCGCAGTGGCCTGAAGTTGATAAGGAGGAGGGGTTGATAACAAGGGCTGCTTGGTAGGAGCCAAGAAGACAGAATGAGGCAAAGTTTGACTAGCCGTCTTAAGGCGGGTTTCCTCAGAGATGAGTTCACGAACAATAGCATCCACAGAGGGAAGAGGAGATCGATGAAGGATGCCACCTCGAATAGCCCCATACTGAGGGGAGAGGGCTGTTAAAAACTGTACTAAACGACCCTGCTCCCGAAACTCAATATAAGTGTCTAGTATCTTGAGACTAGGTGGTTCCATAAGAGCCAACTGATCCTAGAGACCTGTCATCTCAATATAAAAGTCCTGAATAGTTTGATCCCGCTGACGAGCATTTTGAATAGCTGTTTCCAGCTCATACCGCTTGGCAAAGTTGGACTGTTGATAGACACCTAGTAAATAATCCCACACCTCTTTGGCAGTATTGTACTTGGAAAACATCATTCCAATACGGTCAGCCATGGAATTATGAAACCAGGTCAGAACTTGGGCATTATCACAATCCCAAGTATCACAGGAAGTCCGATATCTATCCTCCTTCGGGTCTGATGGTCAAGGAATAGAACCAGAAACATAGCCCCATTTTTTTCGACCGAGAATAAAATTTTTCATAACACTAGACCAATAAGGATAGTTGTCACCAGAAAGTTTGCATTTAATAGCCTGAATTTTATCTTCTGACATTGTGATGAACCAGAAGGAAAAGATGGGGTAAAGTGTGATAACTAGCAAAAATATATATATAAAAAAAAAACTGAGGGGTCAAAGTATAATAATCAGGAACTTGTTTGGTCCAAAAAAAGAATGAAGGAGAACTGGTGGTAACGAAAGACAGCCGTAGGTCAACTTCAAACCACACACACAGAGACAGAGAGAGAGAGATTGAGGGAAAGAAACAAAGACAAAAGTCGAAGTCAACTCTGGTGCAGCCGGCATAGACAGCGCTTCGATAGCGCGAAGTGAAGTAAGTGAGAACCAACGATGACGACGACGACGACTCGAGTCTAGTGACAGATCACGAACCAGAGGCTAGGGTTTTCATGAATGGGTTGCGAGGCAGAGTACCAGGGAGACGAACCAGATGACAAACGAAGGACAACTCGAGACCTTCGCTTGAACCAGACGAACACAGAAGAAACAGAGGAGGTCACGACCTGCGACTCAGAAAGAAAATACCAGAGGAATGATTTTCGAGAGACTATTTGTGATTAACTCACAGAGAGCTTCTAGGGTTTCGGTTCAAACCTTGCTTTGATAACATGTAAGTTTTCTGAGTCAAACTGTATATCTCATTGAATTGAACAAAGAATATATCACTCACTTATGTAGAATACTAAATCCTAATCCTAAACAAAATACATCACTGATAGAGAATGCTATTAGATATAAAACACTAACACTAATTCCTAATCCTAAAAGAAAAAGGAAAACGGAGAACACTATTCTCACACCTCTAACATATTTTCTCCTTCTAAAATTTTTGCTAGACCAGAATCTGATATTTTGGGCATCTTCTCACTGTCCAATAAGATATTGCTTGCTTTGAGATCTCGATGGACTACTCTCAACCTCGAATCATTATGTAGATAAACCAAACCCTTGGCAACATCAATAATAATGTTGAAGCGCTTGGCCCAAGGTAATAGTCTTTTTCTTGCTTCATCTGGATATGATAGAATCCAAATTTTCAATGTATTTCCATTTTTTTTTCTTTTTTCAAATATAAATGAAACTCATCAAAACCCATTAAAGAAACATAATAAATGTTAAATGGCCATACCGAATATGAATTTATTCAAGCTTTCATTTGGTAAATACTCATAGACAAGCATTCTTTCATCTTCATGAACACATCCTCCGAAGAGTTTAACAAGATTCCGGTGTTGAAGTCTTACAATCAAACTAGCTTCATTCCCAAACTCTTCAAGGCCTTGTTGAGAATTCCTAGAGAGCCTCTTTACTGCAACGAGTTGTCCAGAAGGTAATTCTCCTACAAATTATCAGGCAGAATATCAACAATAGTGAATAATTATGAGCTTTTTTTCTTTATTTTTTATTTTTGCTTCAAAATATCTACATTAAAAATAATAAATAAATAAATACCTTAAATACAGGACCAAATCCACCTTCTCCAATCTTATTATCACTAGTGAAGTTATTTAGCAGTAGAAATAAGGTCTATGTCAAAAAGTTTGAATTCTGGGTTTTCCTCTTGAGTCCCATTGGAATCTCTTGATGAATTGCTTTCATGTTCAATTGTCAAAGAGGAAATCAATAAGAAAATAAGAAAGAGTCAATATAATAGTCAGCTTTATAAAGAAATTTTTTATGAATTCCTTCATGAAGAATAGTAGTCAATCTTTTATCAAGTAGGGTACCCTAAATTTTGAATTCTTATATCAATGAATTGGTGATTACTCAATATATCAATAGATGTTTTCTTTCATGCTATAGTTCATAAATGGAAAACTGAAATGCATAAATGAAGAGAACTTGGAAGAAAGCTGATAAGTGCATTTTCCTTGAAGAAACTAACTCTTGGGAGATTTAGCTTGGGTTGCAAGGCTTAAGCAACACCAATTGGTTCCAAATAAATAAAAAAAAATGTAATATTGTAGATGAACTTTTTTTTTTTTTTGAAACAGCCAAAAGGAATTTTATTGATAATTATCAAGCATAAAGACAATGACAATCAACAATAAAAAAAGGAGCAAAGATCACAAAAATCCAAACAGGGCAACAGGGTTGGTAAGATATCAACCAAGCAGCCTAGAGATGAGCTCCAACAGATGAACACCAACAGATAAACTCCACCAGCACAGTACTGAAACTCCAAGAAAAAAATGCAATTCTGATTATAATCAACTCAGACTGGACCTCCAGTACTGGTATTAATCAGCACAGAGACAGGATTAGCAGCCTGAAAAATGCAAGTAGCCCCAAACAGAACAAACCTAGCAAAGAGTAGCAACCTCATCTCCATCACAGAACAGCATCCTCATGTCAACTCCAACCCAGAATCAGCTGCCCAAAACGGATCTGCTCCCCAGACTCAATCTTATTTGCCTCAGGTTGGTTAAAAAATTTTGCACAGAGAAATGACAGTCCTTGAATTTATGTTTGAGCCACAGTGCTACTCTGATTTTGATCAACTCACACAGGTCCACTAACTGGGGCGAAGCAGATTTGAAGATGCACTCATTCCTAAACTTCCACAGAGACCATATGACAGCCAAGGGAATGACCTTCCATATCCATTTTTCGTTCCTGTTCTAATACGCCCCATCCCACCAGTGAAGTATACCTTCGATTGAACCTGGAATAGCCCCCTGCAACTCTCACCAATCCAACATGGCAGCCCAAACCTTCCATGCAAAGTAGCAATGCAGCAGGAGATGAATGGATGATTCAGGCTCAGATTTACAAAAAACACACAGAGCAGAAGCATTAGCTTGTAACACTCCAATTTTCTGAAGAAATTCAGTTGACTTAACTCGATTTCTCCATGCTAACCAACAGAAGAATTAAACCTTAGAAGGGGCAAAAGAGTTCCAAACAAACTTACAAGCAATGAGAGAGGGACTAAGGGAGTCAATTTCATTGTTATATACAGAGGAGACAGAAAATGGCCCAGATCCTTCAGCCAACCAGACTAATTTGTCCTCCAGAGCAGAACATGGATCAGGCACAGAAGCCAGGAGCAAGTTGAGCCTACAAACTTCCCTCTCTTCCCACTCATATAACCTTCTTCTGAATTGAAAATTCCAAGCCCCTGAATGTACCTTCCTGTTATATATTGATCTCAAGGTTTCTTCCTTGTCCACAACTAATCTGTGAAGAGATAGAAATTCATCTTTCAAGCTAGAATTGCTGCACCATTTGTCCTTCCAGAAAAAGGTTTTATTACCATCCCCTACCTTGATATGAACATTATTGAGATAAAACACCATCAGACTATTCCTCCTCTCTGGTATAGATATGATACCTTTCCAAACACAAGAGAGCATGCTGCTAGGGAAGGAAGAGGGATATAAGCTGTTTTCATCCAAATTATACTTGCTGCAGATGATTTTTACCTTGCCTCTTCACACACTTTATCTTGGAAAAAATGCACACAACAATGAAAGCCAACAAAGCCATCCCAATGGCAATTGATGACAGGATAGCACTGAACCAAATCTCAAATTTATCCATCTTAGTCGAAGATATCAATTCTGAAAAAATAATAATAATAATAATAATAATAATAATAATAATAATAATAATAATAATAATTTCAAGAAGTTAGTCATCTTGTTTCATAGTATTTTGACATTAGTGTATTCAGAAGTTTAAGTGCTTTCAATATATAAAGCTACAATGGTTGAAATACAAACTCTGGTAATACATACAAAACTATTGAAGATGAGACTAGTGATTTGTTGTTCCAAATCACAAATCCAACTTTGTGAGATTAAAACATTTGTCTATGTTATTGTGTCTTCTACATTTACCTAAAATATTGACCTAATATTAATTGTTTGGTAATCAAATGTGATATGAATTGAGATACATTACTAAATAAATAAATAACAATTAAAATAATGTATAAATACAAAAATTCAGCTAAAGAAGTGAGGCTTGTCCATGCTCTTCGAATTTAAAAATAAACAAATAAGTGTGCAAGCTCTGTAAAACAAAACAATAGGCGAAAGACATATAAACATATAAGTAAGTTGGGTATCGAAGATATCCAATTCATGAAAATAGTGATCAATGATCGTGAAATAACCATATCTTATATTAAAACCAAAATAGTAAGGAAAGATCTTAAAACTCATAATGACATGTCAGTTTTTAGATAGCCAATTTTGGATTTTGAAGGTGTTGCAGCCTTATGCACGGAATTGGAGGTTTCTTGTTCTCACCATAAATGGAGCAAAAAATGAATGCTACTTGTATAGTTTTTTGACAAGTCAGTGTTTGAAATATTGTAGGATGTAAGAGGTGTGCATGGTGGACACAATTTTTGTTATGGATGAACCAGACAACTATGAAAATATGACAAAAGAGTCAAATGAAATATCTACTAAAAACTTATTATAACTTTAGATAAATTTCCTTAATTTCATTATTTGTTACATCTAATGGCAATAAATTAAGGTCGACAAGTTTTTTGTTGCATACGAACCGAACAAGCATGAATATACGTCAAGAGAATAAGATGAAATACATACTAATTAGTTATAACTTGAGAGAAACTTCTTTAATTCCATCCTTTGTAGCATATAATGACATTAAAGTAACTTATGATTACTTGAATGGTAGTTATGGTACATAATGCCAAACAAACACAATGAACAATTGTTCGAATTTGGTCTATATCTTAGCATTCTTACATTTGTAAGTAAACAAATATTAAATGTAGACACTTTCCCGCACATGAACTCAAATTTGCCTTAGATTTTTTCATTAAATGCAAGAGTACAGTTGAGTTTGTTAAAAATGGTTTAACGAAAATCAAGAATTTTTCTAGATCAACTTACAAAAAACAAAATAGCTTTACGTCATCAACCATAATACATAAGATTTCAATTAAAAATACATAAAAAAAAGAGTTAATTTTTATGTAGTCCATATACTTGGCAAACATCCTAGAAGACTATAGAAACTACGTTCCTGTTGATCTTTATTATAACAAGATGAGAGGAAGACACACAATTTCTATTAATGAATGTTCATGTTCTCTTCTTTTAGGAAATGTACCATTGTGCTATAATAGATGTTAACATTCAAGTGTGATACTGTAGACGTCCCCGAACGCCCCGGGAGGACGAGTCCCGTTCCGTTCGTATTGGGGTCACTACAGCTCGGACTCTCAAATTGTCACGGTTCTAAATCTGAACCAAAGAGTCCAAATCCGGCAAATCGTTTTGAGAATACATATATAATTAGAAGTGCCAAACATGGACTACTTTGCCAGATACAGAGTCGCCACCTAAATATTTTATTTTGGAGAAATTTAGGAACCCTGATCGTTTGCCTAAGGCACGTGTCCGTCATCACCAAAGTTGCCTCGGCTCGGGAACTTGGGTACATTGGGGAAGGTCACTTCGTGAGCACCCCGCTCGTACCCAAGTTCCCGAGCCGAGGCAACTTTGGTGATGACGGACACGTGGCCTTAGGCAAAACGAGTCAGGGTTTCCCAAATTTCCCCAAAATAAAACATTTTAGGTGAGCACCCCCGCTCGTACCCAAGTTCCTGAAGCCGAGGCAAACTTGGTGATGACGGACACGTGCGCCTTAGGCAAACGAGTCAGGGTCTCCTAAAATTTCCCAAAATAAAATATTTAGGTGGCGACTCTGTATCTGGCAAAGCAGTCCATGTTTGGCACTTCTTTCAAAAATCAGTTTTCCTAAAACGATTTGCCGGATTTGGACTCTTTGGTTCAGATTTAGAACCGTGACTGCGAAAGTCGAGTCCGAGCTGTAGCGAGGTCCCCCGCGGGCTTGTTACAGTTTCTGGCGACTCCGCTGGGGATTTAGAGAACTTGACTCGGACTCATGATATCTGTTTTTTACTACACTTGTGTGTTTCTTTGCATTGCATGTGCATTGGTGCACCTAGGACACCGTGTTTGCCATCTGCTATTCCTGAACGGTTTGCCGGAGGCTTGTCTTGTCAACGCATGACCATAAGGCTAACCGGTTATGGGCTCTGCCAGTACGGGAGCACAAACCCCGGTTTTACCGGGGCACCCTTTTTGACCATTCGACCTAGTGCATATTCGGATCCATAGTGACCATTCCAAACTAGGACAGGTTGCTTACCCGTTTATAGGTTGTTTGAAACCGCTGCATGCGTAGTGAAACCCTAGCTCCTGACAAAATAGGACAGGGAAAACCCTACCCCAACATAGGGGTGCTTTGGCTCTCACTTATCTGTTATGTGCTATCAAAGTGTGTCTCTACAGGGGTTGCATGTATCAGTTTGCGAGTTTGGGGCATCAGGCCTGCGGGCATCAGTCTGTGTTTGAGAATCAGTTATCTGCGGGTATCAGATTCAGTCTTTGGGGACAGTGATTTAGGGATAATGATCAGTGATTGAGGACAATGTGTATTCAGCTTATCAACCATGTGTTGTTATGCCCAGCTGTGTGTTGTGTATTTACTTTAAGCTGTTATGTTGTCCGTTTATCTGTTATTTATTTCCTTATTGCTTTATTTACCTTTTTACTGGGGCAGCTTTAGCACAATTGCTTCTGACCCAATAGATATTCCCCAAGCACTTTGGACAAGAGGTCGTCGGCTCAATTGATCCGAAGATCTGGTTGACAGACAGCCAGTGTTTCATTCTCTACCTCCAATTGTCAAAAGAAGGCCAAGAAGACGCAGTGTGTCTGAGCAGAGGTTACCAGAACAGTGGTCTACCCTAGCAGTGAACAGTCGAGCTGAGGTTTTAGTTTCTGCCATAGAAATACACATACTAATCAGTCAGCAAGATCAGCAGAGCGTAGCCGGAATGGAGGAAATGATGCGTCAGCTCCAAGAGAGCATGAAGCAAATGCAGGAGGACGCTGTCCGTCAAGCGGAATTCTCTAAACAACAGGCCACAATCATGGCCCAGCAGGCGGAGCTAATTACCCGGCTCTAGCAGCAAGCCGGAGCATCAGCCTTACATCCAGTTCCTCCCCCACCAGGGATCCCGTTACCAGAGCAGACACCAACTGTTCAGAATGTCCTGCCGAATGCCCGGAACACCTTGCCAAATGTCCAGAACGTCCAGGAGGACACAGACCTTCCAACGGGGCCGGCTCCGCCCCCACTTCTGCCTCAATTGTCCAAGGCGCCTACGTCTATCAACCACCCAGACTCTCCCTTCGAGTTCGAAATAGACCCAACAACACTGAAATTGAGCAAGCTTGAAAAGCTTTTTAAAAAATCACAAGGGGTAAAGGCTATTCCGGATATCAAAGACGGATATACCGATGTAGCCGTGACGCT